CCTGTGGAGAAAGGTTGAAGGAACTAAATCTGTTCCTCAAAATACAGGAAAATATAGTGGCAAATGTCTGAGCTAATCGTCTACACTCTTGTGGCAGTCAGTGAAGAGATGTCGTCATCTTAAGGATGCGATTAATCTGTTTTAGATGTCTGTGTTGAAATGAGGTGAATTACCTCATAGAAGCACTTGTTTCCCTTCATCATCTATCAAGAATTTCCAGGGAGACTCACTTAGATGTAGATGGCTGCTGTCATGCAACCCTTCCTTTCTCCTCTCAATGCAAAGTGCTTGATACGTTCCAGTAAACACTTTGTTACAAATCTGGTCATATTATTATCTGTGTACTTTACTGTGCAATGTGATAAATCATTTCTTTAAATTTGCAGCAAAGAAGACTTTGCGTTAAGAGAAATATTCTGCAAAGATAGTTTGGCAAAGTAACAGGAGGCCTATGGGCCATGGAATAATACTGTTCATTGATTTTTTTTCTGAGAGTCATGTTTAAACTTGCCTCAAATCAGAAGATGGAGTAAATGACCTTTGATCATTTTTACTTCTTCATGTCTATAGACCAGTTATCTGACATTATGCCTCATGACGGAAGGAAAGCCCTGTCTTGGTTTTGCCCTATTCTAAGTAGTATGATCCCAAACAGTTCCTGACCATGATTCAGGGGTTGGCCCAGGCCAGGGACAACTACCTACCACAGCCCACTTAGATTCAGCCTCCATTTTCTGGAGGCTGAGGGAATTTAATAGTATTGACAGGGCTAGACATGTCAGTTGGCCTCTAGGCCAAAGAACAGGCTCTGCTGCCATTTAATTTGTTTGTATTGATGTCACCTAAGAGTTTGTTGACTTAGGGAGAAAGGTGTGCTTTCAAGCAGCTCTGAAGCCACACCTAATTGTGTAGGCTGACACAGTCCCTTGAAGTCTACTCAGAAGTCAAAAGATTCATGGGCATTAGGACAGCAACTCTTACACTTTTCTTCTTGAGACTTTTTGTGAAATCACGATTTCGCTTCTGCTCAGACTTCTGGACTTATGATTCCGTGGCTGGAAATCATGGCTTTGTTTAATTCCCTAACTGTATACCGCTGACTAAGAAGCTTTTGGTCTCGGACACAGAAGGGAAACAGTGGCACTGCTGGGATCCTGGTGTAATGAGGCTCTGCATCATGGCAGCAAGGCCCATGTCTGAAGACATGTATAGTGGAATCCAATCAACATTTATTACCAAGTGGAGATTTACAGTACCACCAATCATGCCTTACATTAAAAGTTCTACTAATATAATTTTAGTATCAACCCTCCACTGGAAGAGGAAATACAATCCTCAATACATATTCCAAGTTCTTACCCAAGACACGTGCCAAGCAGCTTTGTCTAGTTGTCTAAAATCAGTTTCAACCAGTCAACTCCCATCAGTATTTCAGTCTTGTTCTGGTTTGACAGTGAATGTGCAACTATAAGGAAGGATGCTTCAAAATAGCTGGCAAATTTTGATTATATGGCTGGAGCTGCTGCAAGATAGGTCTTTCCACTAAGCAAGCAGGCGAGGGGCCAGCCTAACTACTGAAAAGGCAGTGCTCCTATATGTTAGAAAATACTGACCTTTTTCTCAAGGCAAAATCAATATGCCAAAAATTGACATCCAGGAAACATATCACCAGATGATGTTAGCTTAGATCAGCATATATGGGCTAGTTGATGCACACTGCAAAGCTGGATTTCTCTCTCCAAGTCTGTCCTTTGAAAAAAAAGACCAAGTTCTAATATATAAATTTAAGAGTAAATTAATGGTTAAGTCAAAGTTATTTCTCATGAATTCCACATAATGCACTTATTTTGCTAAAGCATTTTATTTTAATTCAGTGTGTTTAAATACATTACTTATATGTATGTCTCTGAGACTATTTCTCTGCGTCCTTTTACAGACAATTTTTTTTTTCTCTTCCAGTCATTTTAGCTGATATTTTTTGCTAATGCATTACACAAAACAGCACAAGTTTTGCTTCTGTTCACCGAACTGAAAGCTATGCCTATTGCAAAGTTCAGTTAACTTAAAAGTCACTGGTGGAATATACAGAATTACATTTAACTCAAAAGATGAAGACAATTTTCTCCCTTCTCTTTGCTAACCTCATGAAATACTCTGTATTTAACTAGGAGAGGTGCTGAGACCTATTCAACACTATATCTCAGCATGATGAAAACTAAGAGCACGCTGCTATCAAAAGCTGATTGATTGAGGGAGTATATCGTCTTTTCTGACAGAAAAATATCAGAAGTGACTTTTGGCCACCAGATAGCAGTGCTTCACTTTGTACAGTTCTCAACTCGCAGTGTTCCTTGCCTTGTAGAAAAATCCATATATTGGATTCTGGTCTCTTTGCTCAGATACATCTTTTGCAGACTTCATTATAGACTTCAGTTGGGAAAAAAAAAAAAAAAAAAAGTAGAGATTTTGTAATTAGAAGTGCAGGTGATTTATGTGTTCAGGAGGAATCAAGGACACTGAAGATTTCCAGATGGGAAAATTTGGTTGTATAAATCTAACAGAGCGTAGGCATTATAATTATAATTTTCAATGACAAAAGTTTCAAAGAAAATCTTGGGCTTAAAATATTTTTAGTGCTTCTCCCTTGCTGCCAATACATTTCCCTATCTGCATTAGTATTTCAGGAATATTTCAGAAGGGAATGTTTTATGCTTCAGAACATAAACTTAGCATAGTTTTATTATATCAGTAATTTATAATTTCTGCCAAATGTGGCAGAAAACCTCTGGATTATTCTTATATTTTTAAATAAAGGAACAGATTTTACATTATTTTTAGCAAAAAGAAAGATATCCTCATTTTCACTGAAACTTGCTAAACTGCCAGAAGTGCAATATAGTATATAATAATAATAATAATAATAAGTTGTATAATGATTGTGTTTGTTCATGTCACCTTATAAGAACTGTGCATCATCCTAATTTTTTACAGATTCAGTTCCAGAGCACAAGCAAGATGCACAGCTAAAGAGAACGGGAAAGGCCCTCTGACAGTTATTCCCTTATTCTTATCTGTCTTGGTGTTGACATTAAAGTGTCTCAGCTGCCACTTTAACTTGAAACAATCAGTTATGATCCCTATGGGATCATGCAACAGCTTTATCACTTTTTTTTCCTTACAAATAAGGCAGGAAAAATAATAATGGAAACCATCCCTATCAGCTTTACACTAGAATATTCTTTTCTTTGCCTATTTTAGAGCCCTACCTGGATTCCCTTTATTTTACATCTCCTCCAGGGAATCTGTTGTCAGGATGGTGTGAGCCTTCACTTTATTGTTGTGATTCACGTGACTTCCCTCACAGGGAATTTCACCCTTGTGTAGTAGGCTTGTCTACTGAATGAAACGGTGACCTTCTCTCCTGTTTGTGATTCATTTAACTGTGACAACCAAAGCAAAGTGTTTGCAAGGAAAAGTAGTGATAAGAATGTTTTCAGCTTTGTCACCCCTCTCTTATTTTAGGTCCATTGCAGTTTCCTTTTTTCTCTCCTTATAGCTATAATCAGGACAACCCATCTTCTGATTCGCAGCTTTCAGCATACAGCTAATGAATATTCAGAGACATAAGACCCTCAATTTGATTACTGTTACCATAGTTACTCTAAAGATAGACTGTGCCTCTAATATTTAGGAACTGAACTTGATTATGATCAAGGATTTATTAAAAAAAGAGGGAAATGTTACTTCAAAAGTACTTCAGACTTAGTGTAGCTCTCAGAAGCTCTTTCATCTTGGTATAAAAAACAGATTGATATCTTGAGTAATACAGCTTATAAATTTCCTTTATTCCTTGGGAAGAAAAAAAAAAAAACAACCCTATACCTTTGTCAGGCATTCTGAAACAATTAATGTGAGACTTGGTATAGAATGATGTATTTTTGCCTAACACAAGTCCCAGTATCTGCAATGCCTCTCTCCACGTTTCCTGTGCTTTGGGACTGAGTTCTAGCAGTGCCCTTGGAAAATCATCAAAAGCAGTCCTGCCCTTAAGGATGGCAAATGAGTTATGGAGTGCTGCACTTGGATATGTCCTCACACTTTGTTCTGAGATAAATACAAACCTATCCAATTTTGAAATCAGTTGATTAGTCTGAGCCAACAGGACATCTTCCTCATCTTTTATATAGAAATAACTGTTTTGTGACAATAGAGTCAGCACACTGGTGTCTCTTTTTTTGTAGTTTATAATGTGGACAAAACTGGTTTTGTTCATTTGTCTGTACACTTAGACACTGTCTGTGATGGATTTGGTGAGGCATTGGCACAATATATCTTCAGTCAGTTAAGGGAGGAGATACAATATAACTATAGCATTTACTGTGCCAGAACCTAACCTACGCAGAGGTTACAGCTGGAAGAACCTTCAGTTCCACTTGTTACACAGGTTTCTTTAAGGAATAATGGTAGTAGTAACATATTCAGATCCAAAGAGTGCTTGAAATTGCAGCCAATGATCTGAGAACTAGTGGTGAGGCAGCTCTGAACAAGATGGGATCTTAACTCCTCAACCTTTCACCCACTGCTCCCGTCATTGCAAATACTTACGCCTCTTTTACCTTTCCTTCTCTCACTCATGGTTCGAGTTTGTTTGGGTTTTTTAATAGAAAAAAAATGGATGTTTGTATACACATAAGCTTTTCTCGGCAGCTCAACCTCCGCGGCCCCGTGCCGGTCCCTCCATACCAGAACCTGGCGCCGTCAGTAGAGAGGGACCACTGCCCGTAAGACCTAAACGGGGGGCGGGGGGACAGAGCTCCCGGGTCTGCTGGAGACAGCCCGGGAGGGGGAGCAGAGCCCGCAGCGAAGCAGGACAAGGGCCGAGGGGGAGCTAGCGACTTGCGGGGCGGCGGACACGGAGGGCGGGGGCAGAGGTGTGGGGCGGGGGAAGGCGGTGGCGGGGCGTCACGGCAGCCCGCGCCGCTATAAAAGGGCCGTGCGCGGCGGAGCGGCGCATCCTTGGCGCTCGCAGCCACAGCGGCAGGAGGAGCAGCAGCAGCATCACCACCGTCGCGGCGGGACAGCATCAGACGGGCATGGGGACGGCGCTGGCGGCGCGGCTCGGCCTGGGGCTCCTGCTCCTGGCCCTCCTCCTTCCCACGCAGGTGAGTCGCGGAGCGGCTCGGCGCTTCCCTCCGCCGGCCCCCCGTGCGAGGCAGGGAGAGCGGCCACGCCGAGACCCTCCTTACGTTTCCCCGCCGCGGGAGCGGCGGAGGGGCGGGTTTCTCCGAAGGGAAACTCCCGTCTGTGTGCGCCATCCCGGAGCCCACCGTGGGTGGCTGGCGGCTCCTTCGCCCCGGGGCGGCGGCGGCCCGAGAGAAGCGAGCCCGGGCAGCCTCGGCGGGGGATGGGGCGGGGATGGGATGGGCGCGGACGGGCGGCGGGGGCGAGCTCGGCGTCCTAGGATGGCGGGGGCGGTGCCGTGACTTACCCCGATCAAATTAAAAGATGAAGTGGAGGTCGCCGCCTTTTTTCCCATGGGATCCTCGAAGGAAAGCCGCGGAACCGAGGTGTGCGCGGCGGCGGAGCGTTCATTACCCCGCTGGTGAGAGGGAGAACGATCCCTCCAAATCCGAGACAGCCCCGGGAAAGCACGAGTGTTACAGCTGGAGGGCAGGGGGACCCTGGTCTGAACCTCTCCCGACGGAGCGCGTTGGGCTTTGGGTCCGGTTCTGGGGCTCGGTTCACGGCACGAATGCATAGTCGCCAGCATCTGGCTGCTGCGCTGGCCAAGCCTTGCCCTTGGCGCAAAGGTAATGGATGCAGGAGCGATCCGCTTCTCCTTAAGCGACCAAGCCGAGCGGGACTCCCAGATTCCGGGTCCGTGTGTTGTTCCTAGAGACCACCTCTTCCAAAACGTCAATTACACAGTATCAGAAATATGAACAGCAAAGGAAATGCCGGAAGGTGTTTTAATTCCCCCTTCCCCTTGGTTTGCAAGAAAAGGCGTTATCCTTTTTCCATTGTGCTCAGTGGAGTCTTGCCCTTGGCAGTGATGAGAGCAGGATCAGACCCCTTGGGTTACTGGTATTTGTCACACTCACGTTAAGAAAATCTCCGGGGTCCCACCTACTATGATGTTGTGGAACTTGGCTATAAGCCCTTTTTCTTCCACACACAAATCCAGAAAAAAGGTTTTCTGTTTAAAACTAAGAGAACTTTAAAAATATATAACCAAGTGTGGAACGGTTGTGGAATCTTTGTATGAAAGTTCTGGGGTGGGCTGGGACTTGCCTTTTAGGTTATTAACTCTGCAGTTCATTACTGATCACTTTCGGAGCGGTTTCAACACAAACTTCCACACAGCGATTTTTATCCTGCAGTTCTAAATTGCTTCTAGCATGGTGCCAGTGGCCAAAACCCGTAACTACCAGAAGCTTTACACCATCCTTACATTGTCTATGGTATGCTTTTTCAGTAGAAAATACTGAAAGAAAATGTTTATGCAATTTTTAAAATAAATTTAACTTTGACTTCATGGCTTCGATATTAAGGGACAATTTTTTTTTTTTTTCTAAAAAAATTTATTTTCCCAGCAGTACTAGAAATACATGAAAATTAGGACACCCTTTGTGGAGAGTATTATTTATTAAGTGAACCTCTTAAAAAAAAAAAAAAAGAAAATGTTTTTACTTTATTTAACTCTAAGGGCTTGCCAGAATGCTCTAGTATAACACAAGGTTGCTGCTACAGAACTGAAGCTAAGCTCTCTGTACTGTGCTCATTTTAGGAGAGCAGCTTTGTGATTCTTGCTCTTGTTTTCCATTCTTGTCACATGCTTTTTTCATTGGAATAAAGGAACACTTAAGCTTATCTTTAAAAGTTTTCTTGTGCATATATAGGAATTAGCTTGATATTGAAGTTATACAGAGTGGTTTTGTTCTGTCCCTGTCATGCAGAGGTATGAGGAAAAAATAATATTTTTTTAAAATTTTGGTTTCTGTCAGCATTTTTAAAAATTTGCTAATATTCTAAGGTCTTTCAGCTGCACCTTTTTTTTTTTTTTAAATGTTCTAGCATGCTGATAGGTTCTGATTTAATCAGTATTGTTCCATTGTTCTTACTTATGCAGTTCAGTCTACCACAGCAATATAAGAGAGACTGAAATATTAAATCCACTTGCATAAGCCCCACCTTCCTTGAAAGGAATCCACAATCTAGTCCCAGAAACAGTATCAATAGATTCTTGACCATTGTTTCCTCATTTCTGTGGCTTAGTCTGCATGGGCAAACTGCAATTCACGCAGTTGGTTGATGGTCTTTCTTATTCTTAGATTAGTCTTTGTATATCTATCTATATATATTAGTCTTTGTATACATATTTTTGCTGTGGGTTTTTGTTTGTTTGGTTTGTGTGTGTGTGTGTGTGTGTGTGTGTGTGTGTGTGTTGTGTGTCCGTGTGAGGTTTTTATTTTTTTAAAATCTGCTTATCTTCTATTTTAGAGCAGGATTTTGATAAAGTGTTAGTTATGTAAAAACATTTAGAAATATATTAGATTTATTTCTTTAACAAATCCCCCACGTACAGTTCAAAATGTCTTTGTCCTTAACTGCACAATGAGAGGCACGAGCATTTGTATGTATTGTATCTGAGTACTGTAGTACTGTGACTGAGTGTTGCTACACATTGTTCATTACTACTAATTTGTCTTTTAGTTTGAAAAAAAAAGGCAGTAAAAACCTTTTTGTTTTTCCTTCCCTCTCTCTCCACCTTCTAGATCTACTGTGATCCCACTGGAACAAGTCCAACACCTTCAAACTATTCTTCAGCAAGTTCCACTTCTCTGTCAACTGTGACAAATTCAGTGAACATTACCACCACTCACGGACATGGAAATTCTCTTCACTCAACCACAAGTCTTTTTTTCATTCTCCCTGTTTCTCTTCTGTATTTTTGCTGTTAAGAGACTCTGGCATTGAAATGGCTACCACTCTCCACCCTGTTTCCTGAACCATCTGAGATGGCTAGATCTCTAACCCAGCATGAGAATAAATCAGTCCAAAATCCACACCAAAACAGCTTGGTTCCACTCCATACTCAAATTAGTACCAGTCTGACCTAGAGAAGCACTCAGTATTCTGACTTTCCAAAGCTGACCAGTGCAAAAAGACCGGCTTCAGCAAGGAGGTAAAATGATGAGCTCTTCCACCAAACGAGTTGGAATTCTGAAAAACAAGATGGAAGCAAAAAGAGACAGTATCAACAACCCTTGATTTAAAGCTAAGAAGAAATGCAGTATCTTATAATAAGGATGGATAATAACACTCCACTGAGGAAAAAAGGCTAGAGAGTTTATCTACCATTTAGAATAAGGACTCAAAGAGTTTTTATTTTTCATTTAAATTCAATAAGGTCAACAGGCTCATAGAACCCCTAGAAAACACAGAAAAGCTCAAATGATTTTGTTTCTTGCACAGCCTATACACTTATAACTTATGGGGTAGTATGATATATGAAAAAGTAACAATATCAGTGGAAAGGGTTTATTTTAATTTTCATTTCTATAAAATTCTTACAAAGCTAGAATAGAATACCAGATTTTTGTAAGAATCTCTTATTTAACCTCACTCCTAACCAAATGGTTAGCCAGGCAGGGCTAGTTTTGAAATAGCTAAAACCCCACCAGTTTTCATAAGAGTGGAATTATTTATGGTGGGAATTTGAATTTGACATTTTATTTAAAGTGTTTGTATATTAAACCATATGTGCCAGAGAAAGGAGCTGTGGAAATATTGGAAGAAGTACCAGGAGCTTTTGGTAAATGAAGTTCAGAAAAGAACAAACAAAAAAAACCGTCAAGGGATAAATGTCTCCTCTTTCCCCTATTTCTCCTCCCAAGTTCTACAATTTGTATAAGTTATTTTTGCTCCTGGAACTTTCCTTAATTATGAAGGATTTATGGAATCTTTTGAGTAATGTTCTAGTGCTGCTTTTTTTTTTTTTTTTCCCCTCACAAGGTAAATAACTGTTGTTTTGAAGAGTTTCACTTGTGATAGTCTACTTTAAACATGGGCTAACATTTGCGGTGGGGAGAAGGAATGGGGAGAGGAGAGCAAACCGCCAAAAAAAGAAAAGAAATTAAATGATTAGGTGTTTGGAATATGAAGACTGGAGTCTTAATTTAATCACTGAATTAAAAAGTTGTCTTTGTACATACTACTTTTTTTTAAAAAATTTTCTGAATCAAAATTGCTATACTTGCACAGATTGTTTCTGTATCATCCAACGCTTTAGAAAATAGTATCTGGTACTTGATCAAAACAAGCTTTGTTGAGGAGGTTTAACTACCTTGATGATGATATCTTGTCAGACAGAAATTAATTATGTTGATATGATCACATGTGAGTGTACATGATCATACCACTGTCTGTTGATATTTATCTCATTATAAGATCATGTCAAACATGAGTGGCTCTCTAATTTTTTTTTTAATACACATCTGTCTTTCAGTTACATTACCACCAATTCACAGTACCATATATTAATAGCAAACTAACAAATTCATGTCAGAGAGCGTACATTTCCTTATGCTTATCATTTGTATTCAGTAAAATGTTAATGATTGTATTTTTGTGTTTGTGTAATTATGCTTTGATTTATTAGCTACTGATTTTCATTGAAAAAACTGTAAATAAAACAGTGGACAGGCAATGCATTCTAGATGCCCTTCCAGACAGTTCTACAAAAACTTGTAACTTGCCTGCGTTAAGTGAATGACCTGTTAAGCAAGATGATGTATGTGATTAAAAACCTCAAGGTCTAGAAATGCTGAAGTGTAACTAGTTTTATTTCGCTGGAAGGTTTAGTGGCACTGGGAGTCTGGATTCCGCTCTGAAACCAGTGACTGAGATTTGATTAACATCTCGAGTAACTGCAATAAGTTTTCCATACTTATTACAACCTCTTCCCTTTCTAAGTATTATTATTGTTGAGGAATCCGTCTGTGCAGGTAGCTCTGCTTTCATGTTAGACAAACAGTGCTTAAACAGTGTTCCTTTATTTCCTTTTGTGGCAGTGAGTAATTTCCCTCACAACGGCTAAAGCTGTTTTTCAGCTTCTGGTTATCAAATATGTGAATTTACTGCTTGAGGTTTCTGGCTCCCACAGACACACTAACATACTAAGAATATCCTAATAATACAAGCTGCACCATGCTTGGCAAAGGACAGGGGCTGGAAGCAGTAGGAGTTTATGCAAAACTTTGCTGAAAAGCAAAAATTTAACCAGATGAGAATTCAACAACAGATTGTCACAAACTGTAACTTTCCAAATCTGTGTCTTTGTTGTTTTTCGAGTATGCTCCTTTCTAATAATCCTTATAAAGCCCAAGGGTCTTCAATATTCTGTGTGATTATCTTTACTCCCTAAATGCGGAGAAACACATTTAAAAGCCCCTGAGCACTTAGGCATGCTGCACAGGGGTCTGTGTTTGTCAGTGGGAAAGAGGCCCCCGGAGAGGCCTCCAGAGGGAATGTGGCTCGGCAGGCCTTTGCTTATGTTCCTTTACTTTTCCAGTAGGCTGAACAAAGCCAAGGAGCAGGATAAGTTTATCAAAGCTCACTGTTTGACTAAATCTTGGAATGTGCGGGGAGTATCAAAGCACTTTGTTCCCTGGTTTAGCTTTTCTCCAAATGCTCCAGGAGAAAGCATGAAGATCAACCAACCGGCCTGGCTGTGTATCTTTTTAAAAAAATGTAACATTGAAAGTAGCCTCTCTCCAAAGACAGGCAGAGAATGAGAGAGGCTGCAACGATTATCCTTAATTCCATGATGTACCAGTACAGTAAAAGAAGTATAAGAATGTGTTTGAAGTTTTTGTTAAGCATTCAAAGGAATTGGGGTGCTTGGCTTATTTAGTAGCATGCCTTTTTTTTTTTTCTTTTTTTTTTTCATGGAACCAAATTGCTCCTTAATAGCATCTAAGCATGTTTAAAGTCTCTCAAGTTTTTGAGTTTTCACCAGACCAGATGAGTGATTTAGAAAAATGATCTGGTAACCTTTTTTCCATTCCACCACAGGACAATAGAATCAGTGATGAAGAAATCCACTCAAGGAAGGAGGATGTGATGGATGTAACAAAATGGGGAAGGAGGGAAGGCAGGACAATGGAGCCCACACATTTCACTACTATTTATTTTTCTTTTAAATTACACCCATAATAACTAGAACCAGCTCTCACCTATGTCTCTCACTTTCACAAATCTGTCCAGCTGAAGTGTGTCTGGATGTGTATTGCAATAACTCTGAAACAGTTCTGCTTTGTTTGATGCATGGCACTGCTTTTGTTGTAAACATATGCTCGCCCCATACATCCTGAATAAAGTATAGTGTTATTATTTGAATGAAATAACCTCAAATGAGAACTTACAGTTGGTTTGCAGTTTACTGTTCCTTCCTTCACCACATCATACTCTGAATACCCCATAAATTTTTTCAAACTGCAGTTTTCAGTTAGTTTAGAAATCCACAGTGACTTTGAATGAACAACTTTCATTCAACAAAAATCTCCACAAGGTGAAGTATTTTGGGCCGGATCCAATACCCGTAAGTTTCTACTAGTGGCTTCCTTGTTTTCAGCAGGATGCAGCCATGTCCCCCGAGCCTTTCTCCACACGTGACAGCAGTGTGCATGGTGATGCAGTGTTGTACTAAGGGTAGTCACCCTTTGTCTATGTGGAGACAGGACATTATTAACACCTCAGTAAATGACTTTCCACATGAACTCAGGGTTAGTTTGACAAGCTGTTACCAATTCTTAACCTAATCCATCAAACACTTAGGATTTGCCTATACAATGCAAATATTCTCAAGCTAGCTGGGGTCAGCAGCATACTCTGTAATGTTAGTAGTACAGTACCTAAAAAGGAATAATTTCTCCTGAGAGTAGTTCTTACACAGCCTGTTGGCCTGTGGAAGGGCTCATGAGAACAAACATTTGCAAGGCCAGGCTCTTTGTCAAGGTCTTTCCAAGTCAGCATTTCCCTGTGCTCAGGTTACAGCGGGCTCAGCAGGGAGCTCACAATGACACCCTGTATTTGAAAGCGAGGATCTATACAAACGTGCATATATTAGAGGCAATTCAGGGAGATTTGCATTTTGTGTGCATTCAGGCTTATAGGGATTTGATTTCCCATACATGACTGAAATGATTTAGGTAGCGGACTTTATCATCCAGCATCTTTATTGTAATGGATACAATTGGGAATGTTTCTTGTTTTTGCATTAAAGATAACTTTGAAACAGGAGCTGTCAGCTCTGCCTTGTAGCAGCACAAAGCTCTTCATTCTAGAACACACACTACATTTGATGCACTCTAAAGGTCTACTGTGCCCCAGCAGATGAAGGGGCTGGTTATTTTAAATCCGTCAGTTTATCTACAGCAGTTTGAAGAGCAGTACTAGGCTTTCTGCCATATGTGCTTTGAGATGTGTTTTCATCATTATGCAGTAGCCTCAGGAAAGATACTCGAGCCTTACTTTGGTTATCAGCCTTCAGTTTTCCAAGTGAAACCCTCAGCATCCTGCTCATGAATGCATAATTGCTCTGGTTTAGACTTCATCAAAATGTCCAGAATGAATGACCTGGAGCTGAAGAAAAAGACCTGATCAACTCCATACCACCCAATCAAAATCCTAAACTAACAAAATCTCATCTGCGAAGCGTCATTCATTTCTCTCTTGAATCCAGTAATACTCCCTGCAACGTATGTGCTGCAAGAACATGAATAAAACATTTTCAGGCTTTTCAGAAGTGAAACGAGACTCTTTCTTTTATGCTTTCAGCTTAGCAGGAGCTATGCTTTAACAACTGATGGGTGTACAATATGAAAATTGAGCACACAGCAGAATTAAATCGTGGTAGCTTGGGTTTGCTGCATAAACTGAATGATTGCATTCCACCAGAATCTCTCTTGAATGACCTAGTGTGAAAAGTATTCTTTATGTGGCACAAATTATTAAAGGAAGCAACGCCTTTGTAAAGCAATTGTTCTGTTTCACTCTTTTCAACAACTCTGACTGAAAGCACTGCGTGGACTTTTTTTCAGATCGCTTAGTGTGCATAATCTGGATTTAAAAATCTGTGTTGATTACACTGAAATATATAAACTTCACATGACAAAAACTGTATATCTTTTATACTGAATTGTATAAAATGCAGGTGGTTTTTGAAGGGTAAGACTGAACTTTGTGTTCGGAGGAATATATACACCAGTACAGCAACAAATGCATTTGTGTGATTGTTTGGACTAGTAGGATTCAGAATTGACTGAGTACATACAGCTGATTATAGCAATTAGAGCCATAATAGCAAGGATTAAAAAAACACCAATTTTAAAATGGGTAGAAACCACATTGTGAGAACCCTGATTGTTTCAGGAGTCAGGGAGAATTCCCTCTGAAAGCAGATTACCTGGTAGCTATTCAGTTACAAAGACAGTCTGAGGCAGTCCATGAAAATGGACTTCACTGAATCATAAAACATGATATATAATATAAATTTGTTGAAGTCTTTGCCCGAACAGGGCAGTTTCAGTGTTTTAATGTGTAAGTACAAGGAAGTTTTTGAACAATGAGCAAGAAAAGTCCTTGGATAGGGCTGTGAGAGTAATGCAAAGAAGTCATGGCACTGTTATTCTGATAATGACGTTTGCTATCATGTATCTACTATATACAATTTTTTACATACATTTTCTAGAACTTGCTGTCATTTAGTGTCTTTTTATGTTTCCAACAGAATGTTCAAATTCCTTTTTAAGGCTATTGTCACTACGGTGATTTTGTTATCTTTCCTGTTTCAGGAAATTAACAGAAAACTACATGCAATGCAGCAGTTTCTTTTTCACATTGAAATTAGTCATTGCTTCCATTCCAAAATTTTCAGGCTTCCCTAAGGTGTGCCCTCTTGCAAAGTGCCAACAGTAAATGAGCCAACGTGAAGCATTAGCAGGATGACAGACTTGATTCTTTTCCCCTGCTAGTCTGTGTTTTTACTGAAATTAAAATATCAAAAGAACATTGAGCTATTTTCAGAACACAAACTCCTCAGTAATTTAACCCTGTTAATCTGGCACTGATCTAAGCCCTCTGAGCACAGTGGAAGAACTGGATGAGAGGTAAGGCATCCACACGTACTCCTGTGACCTGACTGAGATGTCAGTTTTGATCCCAGTATGTGTGATTCAATCTATCAGGGATTTATGGATTTTGCTAGGTGGCTGATAGGGGGTCTGTGACTTAAATTAGTATTTCAGTTTGTTTACATATAGCGGGTCTGTTCTTACTCAGCAATGCAGGCTGACACTGTTCAACTTCTACTTCACTCCTTTTTTTCCCCCTCTCCAGTCTGGTATCCTGCATTCCTCAGAGCAGAAGCAGTCTTTGCTGAGTGCCTGCAAAACTACTACTAAGCATTAGGTATTCGTCAGCAGGTTTTATACTGCTTTCTGTAGCAGCAGTAATTAAAGTCCAGGTCTTCAAAGGCAATTTGGTGCCTGACTTGAATTCCTATTGAGATCAGTGTCCTTGCAGGTTATAGTCTGACTGCCTTCCATGTAAAATTAGTATATAATACTGAAATCTGTTATGGACCTCACAGGATCTCTGCTTACTTTTCAGAGAAGCAACATTTAAGCCCCTCTTTTGCTTGTCTGCTTGTTTGGTTTCTATATTATAGAACCTACGATTGCTATGGCAGAAGGAGTGTTTGTAAACACAGTGCCACCAAGGTGGTGACTTTGGTTCAGCTGGGTTCAGAGTTGCCTGGTCTCC